CCTAATGTGCATTGCTAGGAAACCATATGATCAAATGTGTATTGCTAGGAAACGCTATAACCTAATGTGTATTGCTAGGAAACCATATAACCTAATGTGTATTGCTAGGAAACCATATAACCTAATGTGTAATGCTAGGAAACCATATAACCTAATGTGTATTGCTAGGAAACCATATGGTCTAAAGTGCATTGCTAGGAAACCATATAACCTAATGTGTATTGCTAGGAAACCATATAACCTAATGTGTATTTCTTGGAACCCATAACCTAATGTGCATTGCTAGGAAACCATATGATCAAATGTGTATTGCTAGGAAACGCTATAACCTAATGTGTATTGCTAGGAAACCATATAACCTAATGTGTATTGCTAGGAAACCATATAACCTAATGTGTAATGCTAGGAAACCATATAACCTAATGTGTATTGCTAGGAAACCATATGGTCTAAAGTGCATTGCTAGGAAACCATATAACCTAATGTGCATTGCTAGGACACCATATGATCAAATGTGTATTGCTAGGAAACCATATAACCTAATGTGTATTGCTAGGAAACCATATAACCTAATGTGTATTGCTAGGAAACCATATGATCAAATGTGTATTGCTAGGAAACCATATAACCTAATGTGTATTTCTTGGAAACAATATGATCAAATGTGTAATTCTCGGAAACCATATGATCAAATGTGTATTGTTAGGAAACCATATAACCTAATGTGCATTGCTAGGAAACCATATGATCAAATGTGTATTGCTAGGAAACGCTATAACCTAATGTGTATTGCTAGGAAACCATATAACCTAATGTGTATTGCTAGGAAACCATATGGTCTAAAGTGCATTGCTAGGAAACCATATAACCTAATGTGTATTGCTAGGAAACCATATAACCTAATGTGCATTGCTAGGGCACCATATGATCAAATGTGTATTGCTAGGAAACCATATAACCTAATGTGTATTGCTAGGAAACCATATGATCAAATGTGTATTGCTAGGAAACCATATGATCAAATGTGTATTGCTAGGAAACCATATGGTCTAAAGCATATTGCCAGGAAACCATATAACCTAATGTGTATTGCTAGGAAACCATATGATTAAATGTGTATTGCTAGGAAACCATATGGTCTAAAGTGTATTGCTAGGAAACCATATACCCTAATGTGTATTGCTAGGAAACCATATAACCTAATGTGTATTGCTAGGAAACCATATAACCTAATGTGTATTGCTAGGAAACCATATAACCTAATGTGTATTGCTAGGAAACCATATGGTCTAAAGTGTATTGCTAGAAAACCATATAACCTAATGTGTATTGCTAAGAAACCATATGACCTAATGTGTATTGCTAGGAAACCATATGATCAAATGTGTATTGCTAGGAAACCATATGGTCTAAAGCATATTGCCAGGAAACCATATAACCTAATGTGTATTGCTAGGAAACCATATGATTAAATGTGTATTGCTAGGAAACCATATGGTCTAAAGTGTATTGCCAGGAAACCATATACCCTAATGTGTATTGCTAGGACACCATATAACCTAATGTGTATTGCTAGGAAACCATATAACCTAAAGTGTATTGCTAGGAAACCATATACCCTAAAGTGTATTGCTAGGAAACCATATACCCTAATGTGTATTGCTAGGAAACCATATAACCTAATGTGTATTGCTAGGAAACCATATACCCTAAAGTGTATTGCTAGGACACCATATAACCTAAAGTGTATTGCTAGGAAACCATATACCCTAAAGTGTATTGCTAGGAAACCATATACCCTAATGTGTATTGCTAGGAAACCATATAACCTAATGTGTATTGCTAGGAAACCATATAACCTAATGTGTATTACTAGGAAACCATATAACCTAATGTGTATTGCTAGGAAACCATATACCCTAAAGTGTATTGCTAGGAAACCATATACCCTAATGTGTATTGCTAGGAAACCATATGACCTAATGTGTATTGCTAGGAAACCATATAACCTAATGTGTATTGCTAGGAAACCATATAACCTAATGTGTATTACTAGGAAACCATATAACCTAATGTGTATTGCTAGGAAACCATATAACCTAATGTGTATTGCTAGGAAACCATATAACCTAATGTGTATTGCTAGGAAACCAAATAACCTAATGTGGATTGCTAGGATACCATGTGGTCCAACAGGTATTGCTAGGATATCACAAAGCAATCCAGTGGGAACTAATATATATATTTTTAGATTAAACGAATCATCTAGTTTGTACATTTTATGTGAAATGGATTTGCCTGAGTGAAAATTAACACAAATTTATGAAACTAATGCAAGTTAACAATTATAAATTATTTTCTACAGACAAACAATCAGTTAATATTCTTGAATATTTCACTCAATCAAGAAATCCCAAACACAACAGAAATGTTATCACAAAATCCATGATTAATAAATACTTAATAAAATGAATTATTTAGGCTATAAATATAACCCACAATATACAATTTTCATAGTGTCCATAAAGTTAGTCATTGTCATGATGAACAGACCTACCTCATTTATCATATAGCATGGCAAAGAAAAAAGGAATTCTTTGATTGTGTTTCCAACTCGAAAACCTTTAATTAGACTGCAAAAATAAAAGTTTGTTGGACATTGGCATACATATGGTATACACTATTTATAAACATAAATATTTATAAAATCAAACAACATTTACACAACATCATCCAATCACCAAACACTTCATTTTGAACAAGTGGGTGATCACAGTTGCTATGTCACATGACATTCATGCAAATTATGGGCACAGACAATGTTGATTGAATTTGAATGAAATGAATTTACATTTTTTATAAATATGTTTATAAAATAAGGTACAACTTTCTGCATTTCACTGTATGAGAACATGTACAAACTTCTTTTAACTATCCATGAGTACTTCATTAAGTAAGATAACAAGACGATTATTTTGATTGGATTTGAATCAGCCGGATTTCAAATGAAAATGGTTGGATTTATAAATTCTTAAATATCAATATAAATTATGTTTATAAAGTATAAACATGTCTTACTTATGGCAGTGTTCCCGAACTTGATAACAGTATCATCTCATAATTATGAACAAAATGATTTGAAAGAAACTTGAGGGGTCATTTGAGTAAATATTTTATAAATGTTATATTAATTTACATAAAAGCAAAGCATGCCTTCATAAAACAAAGTGTAGTCCAAATCTCTGAGCACTGCCCCCCCCCCCCCCCCAGAATTTCAAATGAATTAGCCATACAATCTTAAGCCATACACTGCCTCGTGTAACCCCGGCGGTGTAGCATAGCTTGAAACTTACCACGACCGACCATTTCCAAGAACTTTGGATACAACAAGTTTTCCATCAACAAACAGCCTGAAGAGTCGGTCTGGTGCAAAGTCGGCAGACGTGATTTCAACCTGATACGGTGTGACTGGCCATTGTTGAACTTCCAATTCATTATGCACTTCTTCAACTGTCTGGGTCATGTAGGAAGACGATGTGAATAAATCGCTTTCTACGTACGCCTGCCCATCTTTGGTGTATTCGGGGATCGCATCCCCTTCGACGAGAACATGAAATTTAAAATAGTCGTTTGAAGGCATTGTTAAATTTCAAGGGTCAACCAACTTCCCATCACCCCAGAATAGAAAGCGTGAAGCGTGAACTGTGACCTCGAATCACTGTGGATGAGAAGCTACTTCACGGCTAAATAACTGGATGTATAAAAGAGCCAAAACTAAATATGTCCCCTATTTGCGCGTTTCATGGCACGAGAATGGAGTTCAAATGTTAATAAATGAATGCAGGTAGTGAGACAATATGTCCTTAACGATATGCAGTACTTCAAATATATTTAAATATATCGTTCCAGAACGGTAATGAACATATATTAAAATGCGCGCAGTGATATTTGCAAGCAGAAAATCGAAAACAGTCTTGCTCTCTCTTGCACGCTTGCTCGTGGTAGTCCCTGTGGCACTATCTTTAACATTTGAAAAGTTGATATGTATGCGAAAAGTATTGTATACGACGAACTCAATAAAATTTTAAGATTTTCACCATTTACTTTTGGTTTATTATTCTTTTAACAAGGAAACGAGACGGGTTAAATGGAATTCTGTATCCGCCGTGGTTGAAGATTCGGTAAAAATAAAAGTGGATTGCGTCTCCAATAAATAATGATAATATACATGTATTTGTAATATCAATATTATGAATAAATACATAATAATCTAGGATGACAACAACAATAACATAATGTTTTTTTGTTTTGCGATGAGTCTTTCCGTAACTTTTTTAACGATTTTCTAATGTTAAATCATCTATTTGTCAGATTTGTGATGCGCCATATCAACACGAAACATTTTGAGAGTCAATAAAAACAATATATTTATTATAAGAAGCAATTATACTAGCATTGAAACTGAATCTTTACAATTCACAATTTTCTCAAAAACTATGTTGACGCGAGCTGGTTTTCCTTGTCGTAAGCAAATTGGAACGGACAGAATAATGTTAGGAGCTGCTAATCCCAAAACAAATTTTGAAAACGGTGAAAAAAGACCAAGTACATGTATATTATAATCAAACATTCTAGCATATATAAATTATAATGTAATGTAAACAAAATGCTAAGACGTATTAACCTAAGACTATACTGCAAATGTATTAATTATTCATAGGGTTTTAATTACCTAATTTTGATGATAGGTGAAATCAACTAAGTTAAATTCACATGAACAGTCAAAATAACAATAAAACTCATTGTTTCCCTTCCAAGTGAAATTGCCCAAAGCATCGATAAAGTGAAATAAAATGGTTTTACTAACTGCAAAAATGTGCGAACTAATATTGTTAATATCAATATTTAGTAATATTATTTAGTACTATAGACGTTGCCTAATATGGTAGAAAATGTATTTCCTTAGAAAATTCGGGAACGCCTTCGCGGCGTCGCATGGCCGCAGCTGGCGTACAAGTGATGATAAAATAAATACGATATTTACTCTATAGTGGGCGCCATCATGAATACGGCTTGAAACTAAATAAGATGGCGGTACCCATGTAGTAAATATGGGTAAATCAATCGCATTTATTACCATTTGTACGCCAGCTGACTGTGCATAGCCGCTCCCGACATGCAGCGCGTCCAAACGTAGGTCAGTACAGCCGACGTTCCAAAGCGCCAATGACTCGTCATGTAACCAATAGCAACAATGAAACAATAATAAAAGAATGTTTGATTACAGACGTTAGCGTTGAACTTTTTAGGAAACATGATTCACTATGGCTTTTTTAAGAAATTATTCAAATCTTCAAACTCAACAACAGTTAAAGAAATTTCCATCAATAGAAAGTCAAAATGGAATCAATATCCACATCGGAGACGCGTGACCCTGGTTAACAAGATTCGTGAGTCAGTCTTTGAAGACGAGCACCTGGAAACACGCTCAATTCTAAAACAACTAAGAATGGTAAGGTTGGTATATTTTTTAATGTTTATATCCCATATTATCGTGGGAGGACAATGAATGGAGAAGTTGATTTAACAACGCTGTACAAATCAGAATAATTCGTTCATCGAGTAAGTCACAAAATGCAAACATAAATGATACTCATCTTGTGACTTCCCATAGTATAATGTACCAGGTCTAAATTTAAACATGATAATCGTATGTTATTGTTGATTTATTTGAGTATGTCAAACAAACCATGCGTAATTTTTGAAGCATATAATCTTTAATATAAATTGAATACCAAATCTACAAAGTTTGTGACAACAGACCACATGGATATGATATAGATGAATGAGACACATTTTGGTTTCGAAAACTTTAAAGATGTAATACATACAAACAAAACACTATTTTAGAAGTGAAATTTAAGTATTGCGGTTCCCTCAGTCTCAACGAGATATCAGCGGTCATTTACGAATAAGTTATACCTCGTGAAACGCCTATTACAGATAACCGACAATTCGACATGTTTTCTCATAGGATATTGGGATGGATAATGGACACGAGTACGTGACCAGTGACCAACCAGGGTATAGATTTGTCATTGATCCTGAGACCACAGAGTTAATTGTCCAGTTAACCAACATATTACAACCAACTCACGACTCTGATTGGAAAATCGATGTAGCAAGACATTGTGACCAATTGGTGGCACACCTTAGTCCCGCAACATCAAAATCTCGCGCGATTTTAAATTCAAAAGGTAAAG